CTGTGCTATCTCATTTCAGTTTCACCTTTAATCATTGGTCCAAAATGACACCATTATGAATGTGATTTCTATACATGGAATCATGAAAGAGCACCCCTAACTGTCTGTGGTGTATTCTTATATGCCCTGGAAAAAAGGAAGTGTTTTACCTGATCTTGCCTCCAGAATAGCTGGACCTAACAAGAGTAGCCACAGCAAAAGCATATCGGTACCCATCTCATCAAGACCTCTTGATAGAATGGACCATGTGAATTTATAGTCTCTATTTCTAAAGGGGAGTGGCCGTATAGGTGTCTCTCTCTCTCTACAGGTGAACAGTAAAATAACCACAATCCCATAGTCTGAAATGAAAATAAATTTGATTTGTTATTCAAGATTTTGTAACTTCCTGGTCTCTGCAAAAAGAGATTTTCCACTGCCAGTGACATTTTCCACTGCCCGTAAGGAAATATTTATGCTGCCATGGGTGTTGTAATCATCTCATTGTATGTAGAATGTGAAAGTTACCTTTCAGTTCTGGCTAATGAATCTCAATATTTTCTGGCAAGGCTTAAAGTTACAGTATGGGACAATCTTTGGCAGGTCTGAGGAAGGTAGTGGGATGTTGAAATTTCAAGAGACTTACTCTAAAAAATTGTTAAAAGCTTCATAGTTTGTTCTGAACTAGGGAGACAAGTCTCCCCGAGGAGCATTAGAGCTTTGGCATACTTCAAATAAAATAAGTCCTAGTGCCCCTGTTCATGTGTGACCAGGAGTCTCTGTACCTATGCCACTAGAAGTGTGGCTGTGCTGAATTCAGTGCACAGAAAACCAAGAGCTACATAGTAGAGACAGCTGGTCCTAAGAAATTTACTACCTTGACATCAACATTAATGCTTCTACCGTCAGAAGCAGAGCTAACAACAGCAAGGCTGAGGTAAGAGGTGGCCACAACTTTTTAATGTCCATAGGAGCCTGTGGACAGGCAAGTAGTAGAAATGTGAGGAAAGGAGAGGAGGCACTGAGAGCCTGGGCTAAGCCACCAGAGTGAGAATTGTAGTGACAGCAAGAGGAGTTGACCTTAGAGAGGCATGAAAACTTGCTTCCTAATTCTCTTGTTTGGGAGACATAGTCATAACCAGGGAAGAACTTCTCCTACAGTCTATAAATATATTTGCCTTTCCGTTGGGACAACTTACACCAAAGAATTATCATGTGAGACTGAGTCAAGTATTACAAGCGAATCACTAAGAGACCTTGGAAGGATATTACAACTCATGTGAATGTCTTTCAGCCCTCTCCCAGTTCATTCCCTTTTGGGTATTTTTAAATTCATGTCAAATCTCACATCATATTTCCTGAGAAACTTACTTTCAAGACACTATCAAGAGAATCAAGGCCAATAACTTTTTGTGAAAATGATACAGAAAAAATCTCTGGATTTTATGCTTAATTAAATCACATGTGTTACAGCTTAGCATTGTTCAGAAATTTTCTTTTGTTCTTGGAACCATCAAATAAGTGTCACCTTTCTACTTACAATCTCTTCTAATATATTCCATGTTTAATTTTGCACAGTGACAATTACAGTTTGAAAACCTAATCTGAAGCTTTTCCACACCATGAAATAATGCTTAATTCTCATTTATCACACTCTTGTGAAGGTGAAAGTCTACTTTCCTGTGTTTCTGTACAGAAAACATTTTATGTTTTCATAAGGGCGATGGCCATTACTTCATCCTAAAACTGAAGGGCAGGAGTTTTGCTGTCCACCTGATTCCTACCCCTCCAGCCATTGCGGTTTTGGTGGCCTTAAAATATGTTGCACAATTCTTTCCGTATACAAATTTATTGCATGCAGGGGCAGTTCTCAAGGACAAAGATTAAAGTCCAGGAGCCCAAGGGAGAAACAGAATGACTTCTTTCTACAAAGGTCAGCATTATTGAAGTGGAAGAAGGAAGTGCAAAACACAAGAGGCCAAAGACAGAGTTGGAAGCCTTGAAAGCAAGGACTGAGAAGGGCAARTATATTTCTTCTTTAGACAAACAATCACATTCGCACATGAACAAGGAAATTTATGCATGAAAAAAATACCTGGTATTCACTATTCATATTCTACCAGTTTTGACATCTTGGCAAGACGCAGCAAGAATCCAGTATATTTGACTGATCAATCACACACTGTAATCAATGAAGCAAGAATAAGCGGAAGAAGTGACAGATAACAATTCTTTTCCAAACTCTTGTAGTAATTGAAAAAGGAGGAGAGTGGGCACAAAAGTGACTCACAAACCATTCAAGTGTAAAAAAAATGCCACTAAGCTGGCTAGGTGAATTAATAACACTGATTAATTCTCTTTGCACCACTTACTTCAGAGATCCCTGTTTTCAGAGACTGTGATTATCAGACAATCTCTGTATAGTAAGACCAGATATTAATCTTTTGTTCAGGTTATTTTGCATTAATTAATGCAATTACCTTGCAGAACATATTTTCATTCTTCCCAGTGGCTAGACCTCTTGTGATCATGCATTTCTGCTCCCTATAACTTTTTCTGGCACCTTGAAGTGTTTCTCAATACATTACTCTATGAAAGAAACTCCACTGAACTCTGAAAACAATTTCTGTTTTGTTGATTATTTAGGAGATTTCTGCAGACATACTGGATTTTGTGAGATTCAAAGGAAAATCATTAAAAGTGCACAGAATATTAATCAGCTTTGATCCTTGTCTATAAGAAAATATCTACTTTGGAGCGGACTGCACAAAAACTTCTGTGGAAAGGAATGACAGTTTGAATGCCTGTRTTAAAGTGTTGTGAGGCAGATTAGTCTAAATTACTGAATTTCTCAGTCCAGTGAATCCACTAAAAAGCCAGTGAATTAGAACTATCAACAGTTAAGAGTCAAATCCACTGGATTTATTGCTAGCAGCTTTCCTGAATTTGGTGGGACAGGTGGGAAGGATRATTTTTGGCAAAGGGCCCATTTACCCTGCACGCTTTCCTTAAATCCTTCATTATCAAATCCAGCTTTCTTGAATCCTGCACTTGTAGAATACTTGTGGATTGAGAAAGGTGGAGGTGGAATAAGAAGGATGACTGAGGTGCCAGATACATGGGCAGTTCAGCACTGTTTTCTATAGCAACATTTAACATGGAAACTATTGGACCTGGCATTTCTGCCTTGACTTCCATATAACCTTGTTTCCCCATCTAGACCCCGGCACACATGTGGCATGGGAAGGCTCAGCTCTGAGCAGTACAAGTTCTTTGCAGATTGGTAACATTAATATCCTAGGCATGGGATATTCCTGCTAGCCTGATTACAAAGACACTATGGGAACAGGAGGAATATAAAGAGTGGCATCATGCTAGGGCCTGGAAAATGGTTGGGCATCATGCCTGCCGGAGCAAGGCCAGTGCAGCATTGGGATCAGGAGTGAAAATAACAGATTTCCGCTCCTGAAACACCATCAGGAAAGCATTTGCTCTGGAGAGGCAAGTCTCTGTAAGTATCCTCTGCGTTGAACAAGCAGCTGGACTCCTCCAAACCTGGAAAATCTCTGACCTACAATAGAGGACTAGATGGGTAGATGAGACTCACAAGCCTCTTTAACCAGTGTGTGTTGGTTGGCAGAGGGGAGCTGAGAACCCTTCTCGATCTTTGCTTGCCAGCTGTGGGCAGAAATGCTCTTTGCCATTCCCTGAGAGCAATACCAATCCCTTCTCATATGGCCTCTTCTCTACAGTCTGCAGAGGAGAGAAGAGGCCTGCTTGGAAACCGAGCTCGCAGGAGGACAGAATGCCTCCTGCATGCAGTCACGTTTATTCCCCTCAGAGCTGCCTGCATCCTCCTCRCCAGGTCAGGATGGAGCCCAGGAGCTCCGCTCACGTTCCATAAAGGTATCTCCAGCTCACGGTGCACACAGTGACTTCTATTGTTCCCTCAGCTTCCCTCTCAGAGCTGGCCAGCAAATGGGAAAGACTAAAGAGGACAGCTTGTCAATTAAACACCAGTGACCTTTCCTCCTGAGCAGGTAGGTTCTTCCAAATATTTTTTYGTTTGTTTSTTTCTTTTTTTTCTCATGGGAGAGAGATGGGTCACACTTCGCCATGGAAATCTCTGAACATTCGCTACTTTTTCCCCACATTACAGGTTTAGAAATGTGTAAAAGAGAGACACAAATCATTGTGTAAAAGCGAGACACTAATGTCTGGCTAAGATTGTTTGTCACGAACCATATTCTCTGATGTGATAAAGTTCTAGCTTGGAGTTTAGATATGTAGGCAAATTTGTAAATGTACAAAAAGAACTACCACTCTATAYAGATTTCTTTTCCTGCTCTTTAATTAAATATTTATGTAACAGATTTGATTATATTCAGAATTTCAGCCTTTATACAAAAGCTTATAAATGGCCTACATTTTCTCATAAAAATATGAACAACCATGCTCACCCCCCCCAAAAAAAAAAAGAAAAGAAAAAAGAAACATTGTACAGGAATAATTCATGTGCAACCCCTGTGTATTTTTGTTTGCAGCTGATTATTGAGTTTATTTTCATCCAAACAAAATATTTTCCTTGGACTACACTCTGGAACAGTTTGTGGTGCCACATAGGTGTTTTATCTGCATAGTAGCAAAAGAAATCGGTTCTTTCTTCAGTCAAGAAAGTCAGTCCGTCTCCTCAGATGGATATTCAAAAATGGAAATTAACTGAGCTGCTGTGAAATTACAGTATTGCAGATGACATCTTATTTGTATGTTGAGATGGGAAAATCAAACTTTGTTTAGCCTATATATGTATTTGGACTGAAAGATTTTAAAGCCAGAATCTTTATAAATTCAGTTCATTCTAACAGAGGGTGGTATTTTGTAGYATTTTTAAAACAGCATTTTTAAAACACTAACTAAGTGCTGCTGTTGTCATTAGGAATACATATTACAAATGCAGATCCTGAAGTGGCACAACCATACATTAGTGGGGAGAACATCAACCTCAGGTGCTTTCCCACCTCTCACATCATCTGGTAGGGAATGATTTTCTGCACCTTATGCCTCAGTAGAAACCCACCCACGATGAGGACAGCAGCTACCACCACAGCCATGGTGACCAAAGCAATCGGAACTTGAGAGCCGGCAGCAGACGCAGGGCTTGAGCCCAGAGATGCCCTGTTCTCCTCGACGTCAGAGACCAGCTCTGTGCAGAGAGAGAGAGAGTTGTTTGTGCTCGTTTCTCCATCTTGCTATTCTCAAACATTATTAGGCAGAGAGAACTGAATTACAGTGCTGCAGTGTAGGTCTGATCAGAGAATAAACTGCTCTACAGGACATTGTTTTACAAATGATCCTGTAGGTATGAAAATAAGTACAGAAAAAAGTCAAGAAATCAAGAAAATAAACAGCAACTAACAGTGATTACACACTATGACCATTTGAAGCTGTTTTCTGGCAGTAGTAACACCAGCTATAGGACATTCTCAAAAGAACCTAGAGATTGGTCATTTATAGACAGAAGACATACAAATCATGCACAGTCAGCTTTGAAAMGTTATTATAGTTCCTGCAGGGAGATAGGTTACATCTCATCTGTTTTCCTGCAGAACTCAATTAATTGCCATAGACACATGCAGATGAATATAATTGTTCTAAAATATGACAGAAAGGAAATAGCTTGTAAACATCATTACTTAAAAAACAACTCCCCATAAGGATTATAGTGGAGATGTGAATAAACCAGAAAAAGTATGTATCAGAGCTAGATTTCACATCTAAACTGTCATGCAAACACAAGGTATTATACAGATCTTGCATCACAGTAATATACAGTATTGTACATTAAACCCAAGAGGAAGTTATTTAAACTTACTAGCTTTCCTGTTCTCCGGATTTGTATCCTGAAGCTGAATAGGTCCAATAACAACATTCACTTTTTCATCAGGAGTTCCTACATCCCTCTTGAACCTACTAACACAGCCTTGATAGCATCGGGAAGAATAGTCGTTGTACCTACACACCACCAGTTCACACCGCAGGTAAACAGATGGATGCTGCCTTACAAAATCAAAGGCATTAAACGAAAAGCGAGAGACGTATCTGTTTGGTGAAGGGTGAGATTGGAAGGTGGAGTCTTTAACACACCTGGAAATATATAACATTTTTAAATTAGGTATCGTGAATAGAAATACTGTTACACTATGTGTGTGCAGTGTGCCATACGTTCAAACATAAAACAAGGCAGTATATACAAGAACTCTAACGGCTATAAAAATGTGTGGTTTTAGTAAGAAAATATAAGAGACAAAAATAAGAAATACTGGTAGCAATTTGTACCAAAACGAAGCGCACAGCACTAAAACTCCGTAACACAGCAAAGTACTTGTAAGCAGGATTAACTATAAATAATTAGTAGTTCTGGGAGGACATTAACCTGTCAAGGAGGAGAAATTGTTTCAGTTCTTTAGTGTGACACAAGCAAAAACCCTCCAGTCTACTGGTTGGGGGCGGGTTCCTACACTCCTATCTTGCTAATATAAATTACATGAACTCTCTCCCAGGAGATAGAGAGCTTCAAATCTCACCAAGCACAGTCAGAAGATAAAGTAAAATGGACTTTCCATTCCTGGAAAAAAGGAGATACCTATAGCCACATGTTTGTGTTTCTAGCTCCTGTTGCTTTTGCATGCCTTGCAAGAACTCAGATCAGTTTCATTTCAAATTAAATGGCACATTTTGTATCAAATCAATCAAAACATTTTAGGCTTTCAGAAAAGCAAGAAAAGGCTAAGGATTTTACCTTCTTTTTGAATGGACTATTTTGTACTCTAGTTATGGTGCTGCATGAAAATACTTGCAAAACAATAGTCCTAAGGTATGGAAAAGTAGTCTCATTGATCTCCATACAGTTCAGAGCTTTATCTGTGTCAGAAATTTATTTCTCAGTCTTTACACTGGCTGCTGGGATGAATCCCCAGTGCAAGTTCTGAATGGCTTTTCTATTATCATAATTATTTTTAAGCAAGATTTTTCCTCCAAAGCACCTTTCCTAAAACTATATATGTATTGATAATGTACAATTGCCCTATCTCCTTCAGAAATGAAGCACTCTGAGTGAATTAAAAAAAAATAAGTTTTAAACCATCATTAATAAATTYCTTACCCACTTCTGATTAAATCATAAGTCAGAGTTGTAAAATCGTTAGGATTGGGTGATGCCACACATGTGTCCAGAAACAATATCAGGTTTGAGTCAGAATTTTGAAGGGAAGCTTGAAGGTACAAAATCTGATTCAGTTCAACATAGTATGGAGAGTCATACACTGGCCACAGGAAAGATGATGAATTGTAGAATGCAATGTTCACGTTGTATCTGCCATACTGAGTTTCATTGATATGAATAATGTCATTGGCAATATACATTACTTGCACCCAGGTGTTCTGAAGCATTTTGCAGTTGATGTGCAAGTTAATGTCCTTTTTCCTCTTAATTATATTACCAGAAGCAGCCACTTTTATCACGTTGGAATAGGTTATTGTTTCGTTGTCACCCTGTTTGACACATCAYATGAAGGCAGAATTATTGCATGTAGTCTTGTTCACACTGTGCACTATAAACTATATATGCACCAGATTCTGGTACTAGTTAGAAAAAACATGCCAAAATTAACCTAAACATCCTGGATGGAGTTGTTCACTCGATTCTATCCTACACTTTGTTCTCTAGAACATCACCATGAAATAGTTAAGCATATTATTGTCAAGGCTGACAAGTTTTAAGTTAGAAATGTTTAAAGAATTTAACTTTCAGAAACACATCCTTCATTTCTGTGTTTTCTATTTCTGTGGACTTCAATGCCCCATGCAACGCATGACCATTTTCCCAATGTCTCTTCAAGTTTTCATGCCCGTACTTGGGCAGATCTCCAAAATACATGACACTAACCTGTCTCTGTGTGCCACAGTCATTGTATGGAATGTCRAATATAATCTGGCTTGGCGTAATTGTTGGTTTGCAGACACCATTAGATAGGATGACGTTATCCACAGAGTAGCCTAGTGCCTCAAGGTAGGCTCTTTTTATAACTACGTGCATGTAGGTTGACAAGCACACAAGGGCTAGTGAAGAAAACATGGATTATTAATGAATTAGGTACTTGATAATGCTTAGATATTACAACATTGTCAAATGTAACAGCTACTACCATTCAGGGGTCAAATTAATAAGAAAAACACTTATTTTGACACTTTATGCTTAGACATAAGCAAGCATTAAGCTCTGACAAACTTCAACAGATGTACAGTTACTCTTCTGACAAAATTGGGTAGATTGCAACAGGCCTCTGCTGAGACCTCAGTCCTGTATCATGACTTGTGTAAAAAATGCTAAGAAGTGAGAGTTTTTCCTGAATAACAATAAAAAGGGTTTAGACATTAGCACTGCTTGTACAAGAGGGCATCTTGGAACATCTTAGTGATAATTCCCTGAATGTCTTAACATAACTCCATGCCATGAACCCCAAGAGGGTTTCTCCTTTAGTAGAGAAAAGCATCTAGCGAGAGCAGCTACTGGCAGCACACAGRCACTTATTTAAAGGGCAAATAAAAAGAAAATGGAGTCAAATGTGACAACAGAAGATTAACACAGATTGATGTCCACAATTTGTCCTTTGAAAAGTCCTGAGTGCAGGCAAACCAGATAAATCTCTTTACTAGGATTGCAGGACAGTACTGGATTAGGTCACCCAGAGAAGTTGTAGCTTTTCCACACTTAGAGGATTTCTAGGCAAATTCACGGCAAGTGTAATCTAGTGCAGGGAGAAGCCCCACTTTGAGTGGCTGGTCTAGGGGACCTCCAGGTCGTTCTCATCAGTTTCAATATGATTCTATGAAAAACTGGACATAAGAGTGTAAAAAATGAGAATAATGTTGTGATAAGAAGAAAGGTGAATTTAGACTGTTGTCATAGAAAATGTTAAAAAACAATTAGTTTGGTATCCGAAGGTCTTCTTAAAATGCAAAAAGAATACATATTGTCTGAAAGTTGCTGGTTAATAATCAGTTATTAAATTCAAGTAGAAATGTCATCTGTGTGAAATCATTCACTAACATTAATAAATAGTTAATATAGAAAACATYATAAATTGAATGGGGACTTACTGGTATTATCATCTGCTCGAACAGAGTGATATTCAGCGAAAAAACGYGTGCTTGAGTATCCAGAATTACTGTGTAATCTAACAGTCAGGAGATTTGAGGATGATGTATATGTAACAGAAGAATCAGAGCAAACTCTTCCAAGCAGAGGAGAAGTATTGGGTGGCCCATCATAGATTTCAATGGAGCTGTTCTGGCATCCACCTGGCAACCTGAGAGATTAACATGAATATACAATAAAATATGTTTTGTAAACTCCATTTTTAAGTGTTGAACAAGCAGTAAACTAAGATACCTCAGACAATTCTCAAGTAATGTTTCTAAACCACTTGGAAGTATTAGAAATATGTCTAGGAAACGTGCTGGCAGTTGAAATTTTTGTCCCATTTATTGCCCAAGCAACAAGAATCTTACTTACTGARCACTTCTAAATGTGAGAACAACAAGGAAATTACTCTCTACTTGTATTTCCCACAGACAGTCTGCATTATCATAGTAATTCGAAGGGTATAAAGGACTCTCAAGTGTTCCGGAGGAATTCAAAAGTAAGCCACCACAAGAATGTTTTCTGGCTGAAAAAAAAAATGAAAAAGAAAAGGATATAAGTATGAAAAAGTTAGGCTTTTTTTATTTTCTGAACAAATGACTATGCAGACMGGGAAGAGTTAGTCAGAGAAGTCCAGCTCTTGTTTTTTCCCTTGCATTTGGCAGGCTTCAGGCATACATATGTATGTGAAAAAACTAGAAGGTTCAGGCCAAATAGCATAAAGTACAGAGAAGAAAAGCAAAAGACTCCGACAAAAACTATTTCATTATTTTATACTGTGTGACAGTCCAGCAGTAGAATCACAGAGACATAAAGAAGCAATATGGACAATTTAATCTCCTACTGTGGATGATGCCTATTTCTGGCTAGAAATGTGGAAATTAAAACTGCAGACTGTAAAACAGTAACTAGTACAATTCAAAACTGCAGACTGTAAAACAGTAACTAGTACAATTCAAAAGCAGTGCATAAAAAAGTTGAAGAATTGAAACATACCTGTAGTAGTCAAAGATGTAGTGGTAACATAGGTAGTGGGAGGTGGATCTACCAAAAGATGAAGAAAAAAAAAAACAATATGAAGAACTTCAGGATTCCAGGAACATTAAATGGCTTTACACAAGCACTAGGGGCTGCTGTGCTACCCTGTCACTGCAGCATTTGGTAGTGTCATCAGGAGGTTTCAAGTTGAGAGCAGAACAAAACATAAACCTCTAACATATCTTAATATSAGAARAATAAGTGGAAAATCTATCAAAGGKTATAGATTGTTGGGAAKTGGGAACATTCGTACCTGMGCAGACAACACCGGCATCTTCACTGTGCMGGCAGTTGTGGACGCCCCAGCCCGCGCTCTGGCACTGGAAGAGGGAGGCCTCCCTGCCCGTGCACTGCACGTCATCCAGGTAAATGTTGCCGCTGCCCTCCCCAAAGTAGGCATTGGTGTGTACGGAGATGGCGTTGCCACAGCCCAGCTGCCTGCACACGACSTGGGCATTGTYCAGGYCCCAGTAGTCATCACACACGGTGCCCACCTTCCCATTGGAGTAGATCTCGACGCGTCCCTCACATCTACTACTGCCGTTTTCCAGCCTCAGGAAGGTACCTGGGGATGGAAAGGAGGGGAAAGCCATGGGAAATCCTCCGAAATGTGGATGGTTTCTCTCACGGGGGCATTTAGTACTGCCCTGCAATTGTGGCAACAGAACTGATAGCCCATTGGCCAAGGCCACCCAAGTCCTGGCTCAGTTCTAGTGAGGAAGAGGGAAAGGGCCACCTTCTGCAATAGCTGAGAATCCAACCCCAAAGTCATGTGCACAAAGCATGAAGAGGGCTGACATACCTGGAGGAACTGTCACTGTAGGGATYGTAGTGGTGATGTCGTAGGCATCTGTCAAGAGAAGAAGAGAAAGGAGCCAGTGAGGAACCTTTGGATGAAGGGGCCCAACCATGTTCTGTCATGACACCCAGCTGCATAGGTGACATGGTACTGGGGAACCCAGCTGGTGCCATGGTGGCTGCAGCCATGGTGGCTGCAGAGTCAGTCTTGGACTTCAGGAATAGTTCAAAATCATCCTGAGATGAGGCAAAACATAGAGATGACTGGCTGCAGTGGGCTATTCTGTGAAGTGGTGAAAGGGAAAGTGCAGGGGAAACTGAAATCTTGGTGAGGAGAGTGCTCCCTAAAGAGATGCATCCTGTGAGAAATTCAGCAGTTCTCCTGGAGCCATGTAAAGAGACATGCAGGCAACAGAGTGAGTTCCAGAAGGAGGGAAAGGGAAGAAGAGCAGGAATGCTGCAAAGGGAAGCACAAGACAGCCCCTTTCCTTCCTGAAGGTGCTCTAAAGACCATGTTTGCACAGGCGGTGCTCCATGATGTGAAAAGGCACAGGYAGGATTTCCACACTTGCAAAGCACACTCTCCATGTGCGTAGTAATTACATGGTGCAGCAAGGAGCTAACTGCGATCCCCTGGTGCTTGAGGTTTGCAGCAGCGGGCTTCTGCCCTTCTCACTGGGTTTTGGGCACCACTATTCAGACTCAGCACCAGGTCCCCACCTTTGGGGATGGGCCTGGAACGGCAGCCAACTCAAGACTAGGCCATGGACATGCAGCACGCTGCCCAAACCCAGGATTGGCATCTCCAAGGGCCACACAGTGGCTCCATGGGCAGAGTCAGCAGTCACCACGACATTCGCCAGAGACAGGTGGACATGTGGCATCTGCCCCCACGCTAGGACCACGATTGAGGTGTCTACTGGGAGGCCTCCAGCCATAGCCTTGTGAAGCGTGCATGTAGTCAGCAAAGGGGAGTGCTGGTACCTGAGCAGACAACACCGGCATCTTCACTGTGCTGGCAGYTGTGGACGCCCCAGCCATTGCTCTGGCACTGGAAGAGGGAGGCCTCCCCGCCTGTGCACTGCACGTTTTCCAGGTAAATTTTGCCACGGCCTTGCCCAAAGGAGGCATTGCCGGGCGCGGCGATGGCGTAGCCACAGCCCAGCTGCCTGCACACGACCTGGGCATCGTTCAGGTCCCAGTTGTTGTGACACACGGTGCCCTGGCCCGAAGAGGAGTAGACCTCGAGGCGTCCCTCGCATCTATTCCTGCCGTCCACCAGCCACAGGGAGGCACCTGGGGACGGAGAGGAGGGGAAATCCTCTGAAATGCGGATGGCTTCTCTCACGGGGGCATTTAGTACTGTCCTGCACTTGTGGCAACAGAACTGACAGCCCCTTGGCCAAGTCCCATCTCTGCTGTAGAGAGCAAGAGGAAATGGCCACCCTCTGCCCTAGCTAGGAATCCAGCCCCAAAGTCATTTAACAAAGTATGGAGAGGGCTGACATACCGGGAGGAACTGTTACTGAAGACACAGGAGCTCTGATGTTGGAGGCAGCTGTCAAGAGAGGAAGAAAACGGGGCTGGTGAGGAACCTGCMGATGAAGAGGCCTGACCGTGTTGTTTCCCAGCACTCAGCTGCGTGGGAGATGAKGCACTAGAGGTCTCAAATGGGGCTGCTCTTCTGGGCGCAGAGCAAATCACAGACTTCAGGAACAGCTCAGAAATATCTGGAAGGCCTCACTCTACCCTCTCCCTCCTCCAGGGCTTTGGATGGCATTTGGACATGGTATGTTCTCCAAATTAGCATCTTTCCCCATACTTCCCCATTTTCATTTGTCTGTTTCTCTGACTGATAGTTCAAAATATATTTGATGGTAGAGTTTAATGTAGAAAGGAAGAAATAGGTTATTCATAAGTCATTTAAAAATTACGAAGATTACCTGTACTGCTTACATGACTTGTGATACCCATAGTACAAAAAGAAAATTAAGCAGTAGTGAGGAGCTGTTTTTTTCACGAAGACGTTTCTACAACCCTATGATTATRGCAGTAGCAGATTGATGCTTCAGAACATGACTGGCGAGAATTTTCATGGAGATGGGTAGAAATGAGAATTTTAAGAGAAGACTTGCCCACAGATATGCAATATACCGGCAGAATAAAATGGGCATTGCATTCTTATTTACTGTTGCAAAGAAAAGAGGCAGGTATRAAAACAGCATAATAACTCTCTCACTGTTGTCCTTGCAAGACTTACACTCCAAAAGAGCTGCAATGCTCCATTTTGGTGGCTGTGATGTATACAGGGAGATACAACTTTTGGAAGACTGCACAGCTCATTTAGGGGCAGAAGCAAGGAAATGCAAAGCAGCAGTGTAAGCTCCAGAAGGAGGGAAGAGAAAGAAAGCAGGAATGCTGTATGAGGAAGTGCAGAATAGCCCTTTGCTCTCCTCAMGTTGCCCACCATATTTACATCAGGTCTGCTGTTTGTGTGTACAACAGTATCAAGGCACAATGGGGAACAAAAATTTACTCCCCTGGTGCTTGTGATGCTATGCATGACAGCAACTGTGATTTACTTCAATTAAATTATATATAGTTAAATGTGCATTGGGCCATTCCACATCCATCTCGAAGATTCACTATGAAGTGTGTTAAAGCAAATATTCATTGCAGCYAAATAATCTATATTCCCTCCAAATTCACATACTGAAAAATACCAATTTGTACAAATCAATCATTTAGTACTATTTTCATATTAGTATAGTTGATCTAAGCTATGATACAAGAAGCTATTGTAAAATAACATGAATTTGGAGCAGTATCAGTTTCATTGCACTAAACAATTTACTGAAAAGATTTTAAATAGATTACCTGAGCAGGTGTCCGTGAGTTCTAAAACTACGAGGAACAGCCACATCAAGAACTTGGTGGTACCCATGTTGTCCACAGCTGCCAATGAACCACAGCACCAGAATTTATACCAAACACCTCCAAAGGAGTGCTTTTCCCAAGGTCAGTCTGTCTGAAAAATTATAAAATGTAGTTTTTATAGTCATGACTCAGGTTATATTTGGTTTCCTAACCAACATTTTTATGATCACTCAATATTTACAGAAAGATAATACATGAACAGTAAGTTTTAGTTTCCTGGAAAACTTGTGCTACCCATATTACTTCAAATTATCTCACTGCAACTTTGACTGGTATGCAGGTCTGTTACTGCCTTTGGAATCAGATTGGTGGACTTAAATGCTTACTAACCATCTCCTGTTTATTTTTTATTATTATTTGCTGCTTGTAGCTAGTGATGTATTAGTCAGAGACTCTAAATGATATTGCAAGGGGAAGCAGTAAATTTACAGTAAGCTTTCCAAGAGACCCTTCAGCAGATAACTCTAGTCTCACAAATGATTAAATTTTGATAAAATYCTCTTGCAATTACAATCATGTTTCCCTATCGCTTGTCATTAGTTCAATAGGGCAATCAGCATTTTCTTGGAATCTTAAAGAAAAAAAGGTCTTTGGACACCTCTAATCCAATCTTTCATTGAAAACTGGGCCAGGCTTTAGTTTAGAACAGATCACACATATCTTTCCAGTCCAGTCTTCAAAACCTCCAAAAACAGAGATTTCTTAGTCTCTTTAAGCAACCTGTTCTAGTGCTTAAGTACTCTTATAACTATCTGCTGAGCTTACTTTGTTTTGACAGTGTTTTCCTTGGACTTCCTTGGACCCCAGAATCCAAGACTCACTATTGTAGATGCTGTCTAATGAGTATCAGGTAAAGGGAAATCATTTTCCTCAATATTCTGGCTTGCTCCTCAAGAAAAATTGCCCATAAAKCTTCTTCAAGCCCTTGGATCACAACGGTTAGAGAACGTCAAAGTTTCAGTTGAAGTAAAATCAAAAGTCATACTGAAATGAACTCCTCACCCAATTCATGTTAAGTCTTCACGTCACTTTAGATTGWTTGGTGCACAACAGCCCATCATTCTGTCCTGCTATTCTGTTTGCTGAAGCCACTATATTGCACTTCTATTGTTTCTCCTCATGCAATAGGAAGAACAGGGGACAAGTAGAAATAGGCAACTGTTGTCCTGATTTTCAGTTGACTCCATTTCATCCAGATCCCACCTCTCTTTCTATTTCAGCTGAGATGATCCAGGAAGCAAATAAACTCCAATAGCTGGTGTAATAACTTACGATTCCCCCTGGCATAGTCTCAATTCCTGCTGCAACCAAGTACAGTTTCTAACTAAAGACAAAAGAAATATGTAGTCCTCTTTCTGCAAAGGCTCACAGCATTAAATTAGGGGAAGGAGAGGCAAAAGACAAMGGTCCACAAACAGAAACAGAAGCTGTGAAAGCAATCAGTGAGAAGAGAAAAAATAGGAGGAAAATAATAAGTACAAGTGATTGCTTTCATATGTTAATAAAGAAATGTAAGCATGAACATTGCTATTCACAGTTCTATTGCTTCTAACTTCCTGGCAAAAGCAAAACCAATACCATAGGCTTAGTAGAGCAATCAGACATTGTGACTAACTGAGTGAGAAGGGGCTTTGGGATCATATTGCTTCCTAAAAATTTTTGAGAAATAAGAATTTTGTACTCAGAATCATCTGGAAAGCARCTTTGTAGAAAAGGACCTGGGGATCTCGGTGGACAACAAGCTGAACTTKAACCTGTGCCAGCAACATTCCCTTGCACCAAAGACCAACAGCAACCTGGGCTGCATTAGGCGGAGTGTTGCCAGCAGGTCAGGGGAGGTGGTCCTGCCCCTCTGCTCAGCCCTGGTGAGGCCACCTCTGCACTGATGGGTTCAGTGTTGGGCTCTCCAGCACAAGAGACATGCACAAAGAGGAGCAAGACCAGGGAAAAGTCAGAAAGATGATTAAAGGACTCTTGCCTGTGGCATACAAGGACAGCGTGAGAKAGCTGGTATGGTTTAGCATCAATAATAGAAGGGTCTGCATGGGGTTTTAATGACCCTGATGGGAGGGTATAAAGAAGATAGGGCCACTTTTCTCAATAATATCCAGTTGCCAGATGATGTTGGACTAGATTATCCCTGTACGTTCCTTACAACCTCAACTATTCTTTAGCTTGATAAATAGAAAATTGATGGATGACAATTCAAAACCAGAAGAGGACTAAATAGTCTRTTGCAAGTTTATCCACAGTAATGAAATCTGCTAGTGTAACTCTTCAATATAAACTCGGTTGTCAGAATTCTTGGGTACATTTATTTCACCGTCTGTTTCCCAGCGCATATTTGACATTTCTAGTCAATATTTTTTAACTTACATAGGTACTTTGATATGAAGCCGCTAAATGCCATTTAAAATGCCAGCATCCTCTGTACAAAGTACCCCTGAGTTTAACTCTTCTTTTTTACTGATTTGCTGAAATCACAGCAGCAAAAAGTTCACTGCAAAATACAGCACCATAAAGCCTGTGAATCACCAAATGTAAGAAGCTGCATTTTTGATAGCATATCAGGAGTTTGTTACAGCTCCAAAKAAGTTGGGAAATGAAAGCACTACCTGAGCTCTTAACCTTTCACCATTAAACCAGAGTACATGGAGCTGTACTTATCTTACCATAGTACAAAAACTGTTGGATATTTGGAAGCAAATACCTGGACATCTTATATTGGATTTCAGGTGTTCATTAAAAAAGTCAGAAAAAGCTAAAGTTCCAAATCTAGACTTTACAGTATTTACTGAATATCTATAGATKAATATTTATTGAATATTTTTCTATATTCTAAACCTATTTTTCCTGTCTGAATTAGAAAAGGCAACAGCCTACTTTTGGACTGCGTATAACTAGAAATTGGAGACTTTCAATTCTCCCTAACACTACAGCTGTACATTTGCATTTGAAATCTGTGCACAGCGATGCCCTGYAAAAGTGGAATAAGCACAGAAGAGGTGGCTGGCAACACTTAGCCAACGTCTAAGCAGAATTTCACAGTGCTCATGCTTAATTCGTGCCTTCTTGGATACTGTGAGGCTTCCTGCAATATTTGCTGAGCCAGGTCCAAGCCTCCTGGATTGACCAGTTTTGTCACAAAATGAAACAGCTCTTGTGTCCGGAATCAGGAATAAATCACAAACCACTTCAATAACCTACCTCAGTGGGACACAGAAGTAGCCAGTAGTCATATTTTATAATTCTTTTGTGATGTCCATAATGAAGAAAATAAAAAGAAAGGCTTGTGAAAAGAGATCTATGGCAGCAGTAATTGGATATGCCATTTTTAAAGAGTGAAGTGTATCTGAGGGCAATACGTGAATGAAATGCATGAAATGCAATGCATGAATCAAACAGGTTACCCTCATGGCAGCTTTAAGAAACTTTTAAAATTTGTAATTTCCTTTTTTTTTTTTTTTTTTTTTGGCCAGAATGGATCACAATCTCAAACAGAGACATTCTGGAAACATGTGACACAGTTCCCTTGCAATGATATGGCTGGGATGCAGGATATGAAAGCAGCTTTCTGGAGTGTAAACAACTTCTTGCATGCTCCCATTGTATGAACTGACCTGCACTTCTCTCCACATGTCCATTTTATTCACATCAAGAAGGTTCTGAAGAGTCAGAAGACATTTGAAGGGTCTTTGGAAAAACAAAAAAAGAGTGAGTACAACCCTGGTGAATGTATCATATGGTCTATATGAGCTTCTATGTTACATGACACTTCAGCTGTATCTTTCTCCACTGTGTTGTATCTGATCCTTAAACCTGGCTTTTCCCCCTTCAGCCTCTTTTTATACTCCTTTACTCAGATCACTGTTATTTCTTAGTAGAAAGCTTGACAGTCTTCAAGTAACTTCAGTACTTTCCTTTCTCAGCTTTGCCAAGACCAAAATCAATATCAAATGTGTGATGGATAAGTCAGCTGGCTACAGAAACAGGGGGTATGGGCTGAGAAGGCAGCTGGGCTCCAGGAGAGAAAAATCTTTTTTACTCTGCTCTCCTTCATTCTCTGACCTTCATCTTGCCTTCAAARCAGACGGAATAACAGGAAGAAAACTGATGCTGCAAGCTGACAAGAGGAATTGCCCAAGAAAAATAATTTTTATGTGCATAATTTTCACCTACATACATGAAAAGCCACCTGCTCTTAAAATGGAGAAAAATCCATTCAGATTTTGCACCACTGCTGCATACTACATGATTTAACTGTAAGGAAGGTACACAGGGAAGTCATATACATTTCTTTCTGTGTGAAAGGGTATTTCAATATAACATACAGAGAAGAAGTCAGTGATTTAGAAATTTTACAATGTTTACTGCCCATCACCAATCTGGCCATAATGTATTGCTTAACTTTTATGCTCCTTTACAGCTGATGAAAACTTACACAAGACARGTCTTTCTACAGAAAACTAAAATTTTCCTGTCTAAATGCTTTGAACCATTCCAGCTCCTTTTCAAGACTGCCTTTCTAGGTTTGGTCACCACTGGCCTCACTATCTTTCTCTTTAACAACAGTATATTTCTGAAGCCTCCCTCCTTTTGATGACCTTGTGAGCTTCAGGAAAGTATTTAAAATCAGTTCCATCACCACAATTATACCTTTGCCAAGGACTTCTTCACCTGATGGCATGTGTCATCATCCAAAAATATCATAGAAAGGCTGGGGTTGGAAGGGACCTCTGGAGATGATCCAGTCCTCTGCTCAGCAGGGTCTAATTTTCTCTCCTGTTTCAGTTGGAATGCATATTTCCAATAATCAATCCTGCAGCAAAAATTTTCACCTCCTGTCAGTTTTCCTCTTATCTTTCAGATATCCGGTATCCATCATAACATGACTGAATTTCCTGAGCTGTACTTTTAATTGTCCCTGTAACATCAATGCAGTGAGACAGAGTGCAGTATGCGCCATCTCCATCATCCATGGATTTCTTATTAAAAATGCTATTAYAAATTAGAGGAATGTCATATCTATAATACTCTGTAAGACAACAGAAGTGTTGTCTTTGTTAAATGGACAGGCAATGATAACTGCAACTACCCTTTTCTTCTCAGACACTCCTGCAATGTCTGCATTGTCTCATACAATGTCTAGCAATTAGTAGAAAGCGTGTGATTTTTGCCACATCATTAACAGAGTCAGCTTTACTCTGTTATATTTTGTACTATTTCATATGCTTAATTGAGAGCCAGGYTGGGTCATAATATTAAACAAAATTTTGCAAACTTTTAAAAAATATGTGCCTAATTTTTCTATTATGAATGGTTTCCTGAAAATTTGGAAATGTTCAGGGCAGTTGAGTGTTTGCCTATATCCCTGCAATATCAGACCTCCGGTTACRTTTCTCAAACCCATTATGAAGATATTTGCTGAAATGCTTACTGCTCAGCTGATGCCTTCAGTTCATACATTTCACAACAGAGGTGCACGCAGAGGGCAACACGACTCAAGAAGAGAGAGGAAACTTCCAGGGGCCAAATCAAATTACATTATTTCTTTCTACAGAGSCCCGCCAAAACTGGGACACAGAAGGGTTTGTTCTTAAGCATTGGTGTGAAAACTCAAATTTTTTTGGAGAGTCTTAGCCAGCAATAAGGTCTGCTCAGTTAGGTMCAGGCCATATCCTACTAGCATAATATAAATAAGAGCCAAGCATTAGTATAAAAGGGAGCCTATCAGCTGGCTGTACCATAATGTATGGCGAAGCATTGGCCAGGATCTGTCAGCTAATGCCCATCAGCTGAGATATTACACATATCGCTATGACATGAAATATCTTATGTGTTTTGTTGATACTCTGTTGTTAGATTGATTTTACAACAGATACGATCCAAGAACAGTGCAAGTCTATAGAAATATTTAAAATAGTCTAACAGGATTCTGGTTTGTTTTTGCAAGTTATCTCTTACAAAAGTCTTGTACATCCTCCTTAAGATATATGTTTTTATCTTGAGGATCTCTTTGTGCTGCAGCTGCCTTTTGCTTTGTCCTTCTTTAGGGTCTCTGGAAGAAAGGACTTTTCTGGTTCATATGAGTACAATGAGTACTCTGTCCTGTCATAAGGATGTGTGAGTCATCCCCTAAAAAAAAAGACAATAGCCTTGTTCCAATCCGCACTTTGCAGCTATCACCCCACTGTGTAGAAAGGTTGTTGTAGTTTTGAACCAAGAACCTGTGCTAAAAATAACAATGATAGAGGCTTTTGCTGAACTGACTGAAAAAAAAATCTCGAAAGAGCAATAAATACTAACACAAGCCTTTACAAAGGAGAATTATCAGAATTTGTAAGGAAAGAATGATAAAAATAATGAGGAAATGACACATAAGAGTTGGTTATCAATAACCATGATTTATATTTACTAAGTGCACTTTCATGACTATATTATTTGACTTAAAAGTCAAGATTTGAAACAGGTAGAGGAGACTTACCTCACACAGATAAAGAAGGGCGAGATCTCACTAGGACAGTATAGCTGCATTGATACTCATATCTTTTCTAATAATTCTATTTATTCAGAATTTGAGAGGGGAAAATTATGGGCACATAGAGTCTCGCTATGTAATGCTGGAATTGTAAAGATAAGGTCTTCTTTCTTTGATTCAGGGTCTTATTACAATTATGTAAGTGAGATTTCATGATAAATTTTTTACAATCTTTTTGCTGCCTTGGTCTTAGACATTAAATGGACTTGTGAGTCATTAAACTTTCACCCTGTTCAGTTCACCATCTCGATTTCACTCTAATAGTTCCCTTCTCTGTCAGAAACACACCGCAGAACTATTTCTACAGCTCTGTGCAATTCCCTTATCAACGTAATAAGAGAAAAGATTGAGAAGTCTCACCTACTTCCTTTTGGAAGCCTTGAACACACTCCAAAAGCAGGAGGGACACAACAGTAGCTGTGTTTGCCCACTTACAGTTTTTTCATCATATATAAGCAGATCAGCCTTTAGAATAATGAAAGTCACAGCTTTGTTTACTTCACTTTTCTAAGCTTCTGAACATTGCAATAAAGATACCAAAGGTCTAACGATTGAGATGGAATTTTCCTGAAAGCAGCTATTGATACCTATCCTCCTTTGCTTTGGCCACAGATCAGACTCAGCCATAGTCAGGTGCAACCCAGGACTGAAGGACATTAACATAGGCCCAAAAATATCATGGCAAAGCACCTCTGTGGTGAGGTGCTCTCCAMTGCTACCTGCCTTGCACCCTGCCTCTGCTTTGCCCCATCTCATGTGGTCACCACGAGGCAGGCAAGCCACAGGCAGTAGAATTGGCCCTTCTTCAAGGCAACCAAATCACCAAAGACCTTCTGGTAATGGCCTGCTGGTGGTCTTGCAGGCAAGGATCTCCCTGTGTCTGTCCAGCATGCACCATTCACAATATTCATCACTGATGGAGAGAACAGATGGAGAGGACTTGAGGTAGGCCAATGGCTGGGACAGCTTTTGGCTTCTGGAGGCTGCATTCGGACAGTCAAGACAGATGCTGCTTCGGGAGTATAAACAGAGATCTGTTCTGCTATTAGCCCACTGACTGCTCTGCCTATGCCAACTCTGGATAGTTGCAGATCTCAAATATATGATGTTCTTGCGTCCTTCCATACATACACAACATGTTGCTTGGGAAAAATCTCTTTATTACAGGTGATGCTCCTCAAGATATCAAAACTTTGAGTTCAAATTCAGACACTTTGAAGGAATTAAAGCAGAAATATCACACTAGAAACATTTACTTCCTACTCTTATAGAGGTTAATTTGTATTAGAAATCAGTCATAAAAGGAAATATTTCAAATTTGCGATGTTTTCTTCAATAAGAAAGTTATCCTTAAAGAACTATTCATGGAATATTCAAACATTATGTGTGAGGATCCTTATGCAATTGAAAGAAGTATTTTTTTGTTTCTTCCAGTAGTGAAAGATTGTTCAGGTGTTTTTGGCTGCATAAAAGCCCCTCCACAGGAAATACTTCAGTCATGCAGTCTTTAATCTCCATCTCACAATATTTAAAGTGGTAGAAAACAAGGCTTACAGGAAGGCTTAGGAGATACAACAGTAATACTTGCAATCAAATATTTTATCACTGCAAAACATTGACCACAGTGGAAACAGAAACCATTATCAAGCATTTTAAAAGGTGCTAGCTCGCATGAAAGACTAYTGATCTTAATATACATCTGAAGGAAACCGGATAGAAACTCAAGTTTAATGCAAAAGAAGAACTGGCCACCTGGATTCCYGACGACTGTAATTTTTTTACTAGCAGAATCAAGATTTTAAGTTTGATAAGAGGAAGATGATGATTCAGACAGGATATTAATGTTTGTGAGCCTAATATTGTAGGTGGGAACTAACTGATTAGAGGGTTGCTGGTTGGCTGCTGACTTTCACTAGTCTTCTGGCTTCTTTGGGGTTCTTATGCTCAAGTCCATCTCTTCATGACATGACCCATCACGACAAAAGGCCTTTCAGTCTTGGATTTGAATCTTGAGTTGTCAGGGAAATTACTCAATGTAGGTTTTTTTCCATCAAACTACTCAGCCAATGTGAGCAGATGCAGGTGATTTCACATTAKCTGGTACGGAATTGGTTTCTTCGGTTTATGCTTCAAAAGAAAGGCAACAAGAGTAAAAACAGCAACTGCCAGGGCCGTGATAGCAATAATAGATGGTGCATGAGAAATACCAGCTGGGGCAGAAGCTGAGTCCTKGTCTTCCTGGATGCCAAAGGAGTCCAGCTCTGGGAATGAAGAGATAGTGATCTGGTTAAACATGACCTCTCATCTTGTTATTTCCAAGACAGAGAAATAAAAAAATCATTGTGTGCTAGATCAGATTTAGGGCTTAACTGATTTTGTAACTCTGTTTCATCCAGGATACTCTAGATGCAAACAGATTTTATATTAACAGAGGTTATTTGTAGAAGTCCAAGTGCAACTTAAACAYTCTAATTTTTAACATTAAGAAAGCAAACAGCAAACAAAAAGCTTAAAACAAATTTGTCAAGGAAGCTTTCAGAATGGCTTTTGTTGTTGTTGTTGTTTTTGTTTTTTGAGCAGTCATAGAGGCACCAGTCACAGGCGATTTGGGAAGAGATGAATTCCACAGAGCTGCCTGTGCCATGTCCCCTCAGACTCCCYGCAGAACTGCTGAATTAGTATTTTTATGTGCTGGCAAAAATAACRGGTGTGAAATATGATTAACGGGCAGTAGACAGCAAGCACGTTCCCAATACATATTGCAGAACTGCTAATAATCMAGCAGTCATGTAGTTTTGCTCAGATTAAACCGGCATTCCGTGGTGTTATCTGAAAAATGAGACATAAAATATCATTTTCAATTACCAGCTTTCCTGTTTTCAGCACCAGCTTTCCGAAGCGCAATTGGGCCAACAACAGCATTCACTCTTTCTCGGGCAGAGCCTGCTTCTCTCTTGGGCCTAGTGATACAGCCTTGGTAACATCTGGAAGAATAGTCACGTAGCCTGCACACCACAAATTCACACTTCAGATAAACAGATGGATAGTTCCGAACAAACTGGAAGGCACTGAATTTAAACCGGGCCATGTGTGAGTATGGTGAATAGTAATTAGTGTAGGTGGAATCTTTAACACACCTGAAAAGAAAGGAAAAAAGGAAAAAAAAAAMCAGTCAATCTCAGGAATGCACACAACAATCAGACAATTATTTACAGGAATATAACATATAACATGGTAAGAGATTTTAAACATGATGAAGATAGGGACCCTGTTTCTAAACTGTATTTTTTCCACTCTATGCAGCTCTTCCTTACCCCATTTCTAGAGATTTGTAGTCATACTGACAAGTGTGTCAGCTTCCCATGAATCCAGTTAGCTATTCAGAGAAGCACCCCTGTATTTGGCAAAAAAAAAMCCCTTTCGAGCAATACAAATATTTCTCTTTGCTGTTGGTGGTTCCTTTTATTTTAAATGACATTCATTTCCTTTTTTTTTAACTGATCTGAAATATTGTGCTATCAGCTGATCAGCAAATCTATGTCATGGTGCAGGAGCGTGCATTAGAATGAGCAAGATGCCCTCCTTTGGCAGCATTGTGCTATTATGACCCTTGAAGCCTTCACACATCAGGTTATGTAGTGTCATTATGTTACCTCCCTGCCAAGTACCTGGTTTATGATCACCTAATCAATGCCACTTTAAGCTTTTCTTTTAATATTCTGGGTCAAACTTCCTCTCCCTATYGAACATTTATTTGCCCTCAGTACTCCCAATGATATTAATTACATAATTAATAACAAGCTGCTATCAGTTTATACCATGGTCACACTAGAACTTCAATAAAGAAATATAAACTTCAAAGTCTTATCTTTAATTGCTTAACAAAGGAGCTTACCCGTTTCTGATTAAATCATAGGTCACTGTTGTGAAATCATTGGCGTCAGGAGATGCCACACAGGTGTCCACAAACAACACCAGATTTGAATCAGAGCTGTGCAGGTAAGCTTCAAGGAACAAATTCTGGTTGATATCAACATAGTACGGGGAGTCATAGACTGGTTGTGAGAAAGATGCTGTGTGATAAAATGTAAGGTTCACATCGTATCTGCTATACTGAGTTTCATTCAGTTCAAAATTATCCTCCGCAACATACATTATTTGTGTCCATGTGTTCTGGAGCATTTTGCAGTTGACATGCAAGTGAAGCCTTTTACGCCTTGTGATTACAGAACCAGAAGAGGATCCTCTAATAAGGTTGGAATAGATGATTGTGTTGTTGTTTCCCTGTTTGGCATATAAAAYGGCAAATTAACTTGCAGAGTTAAGTTTCCTATTATGCAATACAGACTTTGCTATAGTCTTACAGTAAAACACATAAGATTGGTGTGGAAAAGTATAAATCTAGTCATTTCTGTTCTCAGTATGGGAATCTGTTATCGCCGTACAATGTCTGATGAGTACAAGGTCATCTTGGACACTACTCACTTTAAGCCCAGATGCAATTGGATTAAATGAATTAAACTGAATTTAATACAATACTTTGAACAATGCATGGAGGTTCTGGTCTAGCACAGTATTTAAGCTGAAATCCAATTTAAAAYGCGCTGGTTTTATTAACCCAAAGCTTTCAATACCTGCTTAATTATCACAGTCACCTTGGGACCTTGTAAATACCAACTTTTAGCTTCCTCCCACACCTTTTATTTTTTGATTAGAAGGTCAAACTATAAGCTGCAGTAAATGACCTGACAGCCAGCAAAGGAAATGCGAACGTTAATAAACTTTAACCTTCAAGAGAGGAGGAGAAGGTCACAGTTGCAGAGACACTGCCAGGCCCCGCACACCACAGAACAGCCTTCGGTTCCTCATGTTTTTCAAAATTTGAATTCTTCAGCTTGAATTTTTATACATTTACACAAAATATTTACACATTTTGCTGAGACAGTCATACCTTTCTGACGGTGCCGCAGCTATTGTACGGTATGTTGAATATAACATAGTTTGGGGTGATGTTGGGTTGGCAGTATGAGTCATTCAATGTGAGATTTGAAGCTGCGTAGCCCTCAGATTGAAGAAAGGCTCTGCTCACAACTGCTTGCATATAGTCGGGCAAACAGAGAAGTGCTAACAAGGGAAGAACTCATGTTACAAGCTCATCAAAGAGAGCAAAAACATTCGTATGCTGTGACCTGAATAAGCAGTTCTTCTTTTGCAGGAACAATTGGTATTGCAAGAAATGTTCAGAATGAAAATGCCTGCTATTAATCTGCTATGTAGTGAGATACTGGCTAGTTTCAAAATAGGTCCTGACTTTCTCCTTTTTGTGACCTGGAGATCATTGATGTTACAAACTATACACAACCATGTCTAACATCACACAAAAACATCACAATTTTAAACATGAWGAAGATGCTTTTCACACTACTTTTTTTTCCTAAGATTATGGCCCACTATTAAGAACAACAAACAAAAAGTTTTTAATATTCTTAATAGACAGTGGTCTTAGTCACAGTGGGGAATAGCACTAAACTATGAGAAGCAAACAGTAAGATGGAAAATGCTTTATGGTTTAAGTTTTGCAAGTTTTCATTACACCAGCTGGCCCAGAGAGTTCTTCATGATACTCATTATCATCACCAAGAGGTTGCTTGCATGGTTGCCCTTAACCCTAACAGACATGAATGCTCGCAAATAAAATGCATGTTCAGTGTCTATAAAATTGCCAGTGTCTATAAAATTGCACAGGTAACTTCCAAAATAATTTATTAAATTGAAAAAAAAAAAAAAAAAAAAAAAAAAAAGAGGGGTAAACTTAGAGTCTAGAAGTGATAGATCTTTAGTTAAACAAAATTACAGATAACAGAAACAGCAAATGAGTGATTCATAAAAGCCATTCAAGATCACAATCAATGAATTAGCGGCTAATTGAGAAGCAGACTTCAACATTAGACATGCACTTACTAGTACTCTGATCTGCTGGAATGGAGTAGTAGTCAGCCTGAAAGCCTCTGTATGTGTATTGAGAGTTACTGTGAAAGTAGACTGTCATCAGGTTTGAGGAAGACGTGTATGTGCGATGAGACTCAGAACATATTTTCCCAAGGAGAGGAGAGGTACGGAGTGGCCCATCATAGATTTCCACATAGTCAGACAGGCATCTGCCACCTTGCATCCTGGTGAGCAGATACAAACATTTACTGACATAATTCTTTTTTCTTTTTAATAAACAAACTCAGATTAACTGATTACAATAACAACAAAAGAATATTATACTGAGATGACTATCAAATCCTTGGAACAGGAAGTACAACCTGCAATTTCTGTGTTAATGCATGGCATCCACATTGTTAAGACTGATTAAACAAAAATGAATTAAGTTGTCATCCTAGGTGTACTGCAACTTTTSAATAACATCCTTGAAATCCAGAAGTTAACAACCTAGTAAGTCCAATATGCTGATCTTGTAGTTTTCTTAATAACTAATTTTTTACTTACTGAATATCCCTAAAAGTGAGCGTGACACGAAAATTGCTTGTTACTTGTATTTCCCAAACACAGTCAGCTTTGTTTGGATAATTTTCAGGATAAAAGGGGCTCTGTAAAGTGCCAGATGAATATGAAAGCAAACCACCGCAAGTATAATATGCTGCAGAGAAAAATGTAAGAAGAGGAATACATACATATCATTTAAGGTGACTTTTGGAATGCATCTAAGTAGAATCTGTAGTCTCAAAATTAGAGGCAATAGCTTCTGTCTTTAATGGTCTTTTTGTTAGATGGTCTTTCTTTTCATGTCTTTCATTAAAAGTCATTCATTTTCTTAATTTCATCACTTGCAATCAAATGTGAATAATCTCTATTATAATTATTATAAAGACCAAAGAGAAGAAAAACAGTCAACATTTTTTTTTCATATTACAGAGAACTGACAAATATCCCATACTTAAATGTGAAGGTATTATACCATAGTCAAAAAATTAGACAAAATTTATATGAGCTTGCAACCTAATGGAATACCAGGGGAATCAAGTTTGTGGGCTTCAACTAACAGTTTAGCACTAAAATCAACATGAATTTCCAGGATACTTTTCAGTACAAGGACGAGGTATTGACAGAAATATCTGCAAACAGACAATGACACCCGAATTATATTCCAAATTGAAAGTAAAGAATTAAAATCACGACAAAAGAGAGTATGAAAGAGCAAAGAAAGATAWGGATAAGGACTCTAAGGAAAAAAAAATCCCACTAACTGTAGCAAAAAGAAAAGATAAAGGGTCTGAACAGCAAGGCAGACATGATGATTTACAGGAATGACAAGTTTACATTGGCCATAAATAATTTTGTAACATACATCCAGTATATATATGCATACATACACACAAATATCCATGAAGATACAATGAACCTATGCTATATATGTGATAAATATATATTTACATATATTTTAATATAAAGGATAAGAAGCTATTGACATGRAAAGGCCTATGGAGAAGACAAGATTTTCAAATTTTAAGTTCAACTTCTAGCAAACACAACAAAAACTTTCTCTCACTAATAGACCAAAACATAATTATGTGAACAAATAAAAAATTGAAAAAAAATGGTATCCTAAAATGATATGTGTGAATGTACAGTTGAGATAGGAATTAGTCATACTTACAAAGTAGTGCATGATAATACTTACTTATAAGTAATTGTGAAATTACTTCTTAAAAGCCCAAAAGTAAGTGGTTATACTGGGTACAAACTCATCTGACTTTGGGGTAAAAATCAGAGACAACAGTGGGGTAACAAGTAGAGACAACAGTATAGTTATAATAGATGAAGAGGAATATGTGTGAAAAGGTCTGAAGAGGTTTGCATTTTTGTCCTGCTAAGTAATAAAGGAGTGCTCTGGTATTATTCACAGATGGGAGACGAGTCCCAGTCATCTTGAAAGATGAACTTGACAAAGCCAAAGAAAGCACACAGGCCAGAATGATCCTCAGTACTACAGACAACACAAATCAGTCTTACCATCAGCAGTATCAGTCGTTGTTGTCACTCCTAKAGAAAAATAAACACACACAATGAAATTATTTTTGTAAAGCATGAACACACTAAAAAAAAAAAAAAAAAAAAAGAGATCTGCAAGACAAGATTGAGGCCTGTCTAGTCTGCCACCCAGAAAAGAATTATGAGGGGAAAGAAAACTGCAATTCTCAAGAAGATGAAGCTGCAGAGAAAGCAGAGTCAGTGCCTTTTCACCCCAAGGAAGAAGGTCAAMGCATGGCTACTGACAGAGGGAAGCAACATGGCAACTTGACCTCCTTCTTCCTGCACACGCCCAGGCCAAATGGCACCCTTTTTGGTGCCATTGATAGACAGTAAGTTTGTCTTGGTTCCCACTTGACTTACTGAGACCTGACTTGAGGCCAGTTCAGCCCACCACCCAGACAAGAATTATGAGGAAAGCAATATGTATTTCTTAAGAGTACGAGGCTGCAGAGAACGAGGTATCCAGCACTTCCTCAAGTTGAGCACCCCTAGATTACTGAAGAGACTGCCCTAACATCTGGGTAAATAATCTTTTTTTTTTTTTTTCTAGTAAATGCCAGTGAATTTCTGCCAACACAAGTGCAATGGAAGAAAGTGAAGCAAGTGACTAAAAAGCAGCCAAGAGATCCAGCTATGTGCAGGATAAAGAATCCCTCAAAACAAGAACTTGACAAACTCACAGGGTAATAAAATCCTCTAATTCAAGCATCTCTCATTAGCAAAGTGTCAAACAACTGCCCAGGACAGCTGCCTTTTCATCACTCTAGACTGCTCCAGATGTCATCAGCAGGAAGACTGTCACGTTCCAAGGAAAACRGGGAGGCAACAGGCACATAAGAGGGGCCCTCCCCAAAATAGTGCCTCTCCCACCATCAACACACATCTCACCAAAAGTCTTTTGAGAACAACCTGAGCACAGCATGAAGGAGCTGTCATTCTCTCCACAAAATATCCCTCTTGAGCACTTTCCCGCTCCATCCTCTGCTACACCTCAAAGCCTGTCAGAAAGGCCAATGGTATGACAAAAGGGGTCACCTCCATCCTCAGAAGGAAGGGGAGACAATTGGCACATAAGAAGAACACTTTCCCCAAAATACTGTCCTTTGAAGCATCAGCACTCACCTCAGCACAAGTCTTTAGAAAATACCTGGAGTTTGGCAAGCGYCCCCCAAAAAGAGTCTCTCCCAAGAATGTTCCTGCGCTTCTCCTTCATGCACCCCTGCACCTCAGAGCCATTCTGGCAATCTCCCCACCCCATTTCTGCATTTGCCTCCTGGCAAAAACTAGAAAACCCCTCTGGTCTCACCTGGAGTGGTGATGTAGTTGGGAACTGAATAGTAGGAGGCCTGAAAGCCTCTGCGCGTGACACTGCTGTCACTGCGAAACAGGACGGTCAGCTCATTTCCAGATGACACAAACACGCGGTGGTTGTTACTGCAAACTTTCCCTAGGAGAGGGGCCCCGTACAGCCTGCCGTCGTACACCTCGATGGCGTCGTACTGGCAGGTGGTGCCTTCCAGCCTGCGGAGCGGAAACAACATTCCTCAGCTCTCGGGCTCGCCTGTTTCCAGGGSGCCTGAGAGCAGGAGAGGAGCCCTTGGAGCAGGCACAGGCTCCABGCAGAGACGGCCAAGCACCAGGGCACRCAGGTGCYGGGCTGGCACCMCAGGCCCMGGCCTCACTTACTCTACATCCACAAAGGTCAGGTGCACTCTGTAGTTCGCCTCCTGCAGCTGGATTCTCCACACGCAGTTTGCGTTGTTGGGGTAGGTGTTGGGATAGTTGGGGCTTTCAAAGGAGCCAAACGAAGCCGAGAGGAAGCCACCACAGGAGGAAGCACCTACAGAGCGCAGCAAAAGTGAGAGGTGGCAGAGACAGCCTGAAMCCAACCCAGCACAGCTCCYTGGAGGAGAGCAGGAGTCCCGCAAAGAGSCRTGGACATGCTCCCTCACAAAAAGGCCCTCCTGGGTGWGTGCCKGCTCCCCGGAGGTTGCTCCTCAGGGCCTGTCCCGGCATCTCAACATCCCAGAGCTCATGTACCTGGCTCTTCTACGTGGTAATGCAGGGGAAGAGGAGCCTCCTCCCTAAGAGGAATTCCCTAGTGGGAGTCACARCYTCCCTGGAGGAGCTCCAGGGTCACTCAACACCTAARATCGCCYTGGCAACCTGCTTCAACAGAGCAACATTGAACAACACTCAACCCTGCTGCATGTGCTCACCAGGTACACCACGAGACACCACAGCAGAGGCTGCCTCCTAATCCCTCCCCACCAGGAAATCACTGCCCAAGCCTTCAATCAGGTTTTAATGACATTTACAAAGCCCTAGAGAGCCCGTCTTACCGGTACTGGTATCAGTCATCATTGTTGGTGAAGGTGTACTTGTCCAATCTAGAGAAAAATATTCACACCTGGTGAAATTACACTTTTAAAACATAGGCACACCCCAGACACAGAGGGAAGAGATCCCTAAGACCCGATGAAGGCCACTCTAGTGCATCACCCAGGCAAGAATTAGCATGACAGGAAGAGCAAGTGATTCTTAGCAGAAGGAGGAGGCTGAGGCTAAAGAGAAAGATGAGTCTAGCACTTGAGCACTTGCTCAACGAGAACACCAYCCTGTTCTGGCASACACTGCTCCAATGCCCAAGWAAATCAGGAAATTTATWCCCTAAGGGATTTTATTTTTTTATATTTACCTGTTGGTGGAGGCGCTGTCATTCCTGAATCTGGAACGAAAGAAGCACRGACCAGTAGGCACTCGAGCCTCCCGATTCACACTGCGGCATGCTGCTGCCCACCCCACCATACTGCACCTCGGACCACAAGTTCAGGAAGGGCTGGACAGACCAAAGTGCTCTCTGCTTTGTGGCACCTGCGCTCCCTGTGAGTCTCCTTGAGAGGCACCAGTGATCCCACGCAGGGCAGTCTGTGCAGGGCCTGACCTACTTWTCTGACTCTACTCCACATGTGAGGAGGCCCCTGGGCCCTTCTCTCACAAGGAGACACACAAGAACTGCTTCTATGCTGCTCACTCCTGCAGCACAAGACCCTTGCTTCAGGCACACAGACCCAGGGCAAGCTGCCACCATTCAAGCAGGAAACAAGGGATTGCAAAGCTGTGTCTAGAGGAACATCAGCTTTATTCCCAAGAGACACCACCAGGAGGTAAAAGCCTACCTGAGCATATGACAGAAGCATCTTGCACAGAACACGAATAGGTGCGCTCATAGGGACAAGTCCACAAATASTCCTCAGTGCCCTGGCAATCCACTGCGGTCATCAAGTATGAGGACCAGCCATTGGAAGGGAAGTAGCCCGTCACACCAAGTGGCTGGCCGCAGCCCAGCTGCCTGCACACCACCTGAGCATCTCGCATGTCCCACCGGTAACCGCACACTTTCAGCCAGCCTCCAAAATAGTAGATTTCTACGTTGCCAGCACAGTGGTTGGGCCCATCTGTCAGTCGCAGGAAGAACTCTGGGAAAGAGCGAAGACACTTTGTTAGGCAAAGCAGGGCCTGCTTGCACACGGTCACATTTGCTTCCTGTTGTGCAAGAAATCAGAGAGGCCAGAGAGGGCCAGGAGTTCACTAGAGAACAGTAGGGTGGCCTGCACCTCAGAAGACCCACAGGCATCAAGATTCTGCTGGCAAGGGGCCTTCGCTCTCAGCCATGGGCCCCCTGCTCTGCTGTAGAGACACAGCAGGCCGAGGGCTCTCACATTGTGCCCAGGCATGACAGCCTCCAACATCCCTGCGGAAAAAGGCTCCAGAACAACTTCAGCTGCCTGGGGCTCTGGAGCGGATGCACAGAGATGTGGAGGCAGCAGCTCACGCTCATGTCAAGGTGCACGGGGGAGGATGCCCAGCAGACAGACTCACCATCAGCAATGATCCCATCTGTGGGGAAACAAAAACACACACTCACACCCACGAAACAACYGCAGCAGCTCAACCACCTGGGAGCTTGACATTACGAAGCTCTCGCACATGCCCCTGCTCCCAACAGAAAGCTGACATCATTGCTATACTTAGTGGGCTCCTTCCGAGCCATCTTGACCCAAGCAGAGAGGCAGGAAGGGTTTCTGGGCAAGGCAGAACCCAGCAATCCTTTCCCAAGCTCTCTCCTACTCTCCAAGCCCACTGACCAAAAGGCATCCCCAATGGGTGAGAAGCAGCTCGTTTGCCAAAACCAATCACCAAGCAGAATACATCAAAAATGTCAAAGACTTCATGAAGATTCAGGTGTTCCTGTGCTCCTCAGAAAGAGCCACAAGTAAGCTTCTTTTATGAGAAGCTCTCCATAAGCCCACTGGAGGAGCTGCTCCACAACACACAATTCATATTCTCAATAGCCTCATGTCAATACTTCTCAAAAGGAGTATTCCATACGATTGATTTCCGCACAGCAGGCAGAGTGGCCACAGGATTATATTAAGCTTTATGCCACCTATCCAAAGAAAGAGATAATAAGTCGGACTCACGGGTAGTGGGTGCAGTAGTTCTTGGGGGAGGCGAGGAGGTTGTTTCTGCMAGGGGAAAAGAAGAAAGAAGAGAAAAAAGAGATATTAGTGACCGAGGGTAAGACGGACAAGCCAGCCAAAATAATCTGAAAGGTCCACACGTGACTCCCCCAGCCCCGAAGCTGGCAATGTG